GGGGGATTGTGTACCAGGGAGGGTGTTTTTCTTTTCTTTTCAAAGAGAGGAGCGAACTGGAGGGTGGTGGGGGAGGGCTGGGCTGGGAGAGAAGTGCAGCAATGAATGAATGGAAATCCTAAATCTCTGTAAATATTCATTAAAATTACTAAAATAAAAGTGCAGTTTACAATGCACTGGGTCACCAGCACTCCTTATTGGCAAGTAAATAGAGGAGAAATTCTGTAGGGCAGCAATTAAGACTTCACAAAACAGGATAATGAAAAAGAGATTTCTACCTTACCAAAACCAAGAAAAGCCTTTAAACAGTGTATAACAAACATAACCAAAACTAGAGTTGCCTAAAACCAGAATGACCTTTAAGGCGGTCCCGTATGGAATTAAAGGGCAGAGCAGATGGCTCCTTGTCAGTAGTGGTTGAAGTAGATCAAAGCCAACTTGAGAATCTAGGTGATAAGAGGTAGTGATCACACAGATGGGATCGCTCAGGTTCTGGGGTCTGACTAGATTGTAGAGCAGTGATAGACGATTCACAGAGCTGGCCTTAGTACCATTTTGACTGAAAGTACATCAGTATGTATATTTCTAAACTCCACAACTTAAAAACTACATATCTGATACATGTTCTTATCAGTGGGTACAAGAATACCAAAAGCGTTACATTTTTTTTTTAAATTTTTTTAAAAAGCGTTATATTTTAATGCTGCTTTCCTACATAATGTTAAATGGTAGTAATTATTACCCTGGAGTTGATAGATTGCATGATGACGCCTCCAAACCTTGTTAAAATTGTGTGTATATGTACAAATGTGCAACTTTCTGGGAAGAGCTTTCTAAATTTTCATTATATTCAGAGAGATCTAGTTGATATCCAAAAAAGCCTGCAAAGCAGATTTTAACATTTGAAGGTACTTAAATTAAACATGCCAAATAAAAAATAACGTTAGGGTCTGTCAGCAGTAGCTTTGTAATTTGTTAGAAGGTCATATAGAACTTTCCCTTTTTTGTCAAGGTCATTAAAACATGATTCTGTGATTTGTGGCTTTACTGTGAAGATTTGAAAACACTTCATAATATAAAACAAACATCATTTTATACTAATCTTTTGAAAGAAAATAGGGCATATGCCATAAAGAATTTATTTGTTGTGTGCTTTCAAGTCAGAACCAACTTATAACTGACCCTCTACTGGATTTTCAGAGGCTGTAAATCTTATGGCATTAGATTTCCACTCTTCCGATGAGAGAGTTTTGAACCACTTGCCTTTTGGTTGGCAGTGCAATTCCTTG